CCCAGTGTGGGGTGTGCAGGAAGCAGCTGATCGATGTTTCTCTCTCATCGATGTTTCTAACTCTCTATCCCTCTCCTTTCCTCTCCGTAAAAAATCAATAAAATATATTTTTAAAAAAAGAAAGAAATGGATACATGGATGGCCCGGGAGGAAGAGAACTGGATGGCTGGGGGTGGGGGTGGGGGCAGAGCAGACCTTTCACTGAGGTTTCACTATGAACCTTTGAAATGTTTGAACTGTAATGTGACTGTTATTACCTATTCACAGACGAATCTCTACAAGTTTAAAATGTAATAATTAGGGTGAGTGTGGCTATAAAGAGGCAGCATGAGGGAGCCCTGTGCTGATGGACCAGTTCTGTGCCTTGACTTGCTGGTGGTTACATGAAGCTACACATGTGATAACACTGCACAAAATTAAACACACACACACACACACAAGTGCATGTAAAACAAGTGCAACCTGAATAAGCTCTGTGGATTGTATCAGCTTTGATTTCCTGCTTTTGACATCGCGCTATCCTTATGTAAGAGGGTACCGCCGGGGGAGACTGGTGGACAGTACATGGGATCGCTCTGTACATTTTTTTTTCACTGCCCTGTGAATATATAATTATTTCTAAATAAAATGTTGAAAAATGTAATAACACAACAAGGGAGAATGTCAGAGAATGGCAAGGCTGGACAGGATCCTACAGATTCTCTAGCACACTGGTTTCAACAGTTTCTCAAGCCAGGAAACCCTTTATTCATATGAAATCTCCCGTGGAAGCCCAGCATGCAAAGCAGAGCCACGGGGAGCTCTGTGGCCAGAGTGCACCTGCTCAGCGCCCTACAACCACCTGCTGAAAACCACCACCTCTGGTTCATTCCTCTCAACTTACAAACACTTCAATCACTGGGCTCAGAGATCATTCTACCACTGGGCCAAAGTCACACAGCGTGTTCGTGACTCCGCTGGAACTACAGCCTGTGCGTCCGAGCCCCCTGTCCAGTGTTTACCTGCCGTCCAGTCCCGGAGAAAGAGGTGCAGAGTGTCTGATGGGCCAAGCCTGGGCCTCCCCTCCCATCCCTGCAGGGCAGCCCGGCCCCTGGGCCCCTGCCAGTCGGTACCTGGAGCAGTGCGGCTGTCATGTAGAAGACGATGAAGATGAGGGTGAGTGTGGTATGCCCTCCCTGCATACAGCTGATGGTGTAGAGGAAGACCAGGTGTCCTGGAACCACGAGCAGGAAGAGGACCCGGGCAGAGCGAGAATTCACATCTGGGAGCGAGGAAGAGAAGGGGTGAGGAGGAAATCTGGCCCCAGAAGGTCTTTCAACATCAGGAGGTACCACGCTACAACTCCAGGGCAGCAGGCAGCGGACTGCCTCTACCTCCCCATCCCCTGGTCCCAGCCCCCAGGGGTTCTCAGGAAAGGAGAGCCTTCCTGCCTGGCCTGTGCCCACTACGACAGCTGGTATCTGGGCCCAGCTGTTTCCTAAGTGAAGCTCACTGACTGCTGACCCTTCCCTCCAGGGCTGGAGTGGGCCCAGGCGGCGGGGACTCTGCCGTTACCAGGACTGAAGAAGGTGGTACAAGGACTGGGGCAGCGGCGAGGGGCCTGCTCAGAGTTCTCCCCGGGCATTCCGTTCATGTGGAGGAAGGTGGAGATGCGGCTGGCCTGCACGGCCACCAGATTGCCCCCGACACCTGCAGAGACAAAAGGATCTTAGACATGGGGGGAGGGAGGAGTCCCCAGGAGGAGAGTGAGACATGGAGAAGAAAGACGAAGACAACCCCCTACCCCCATTCCAGGAGTCTTCCAATCCTCCCATCCCCCCGCTCCGGAGATGTGGCAGACTCATGCGCCCCTGGTGTGGCTGCGTGTGCAGGAAGGGACACAGGCGGATCTGTCGACTCAGGGAGCCTGACTTCTCCAGCAGCGGGTGTGTGCACCTGCTGTCGCACACAGCCCGGGGGACGAGGCCCTGCTTGCCTCGGGCCCTCTCCAAAGCTCCGAGCAGACCCAGGGACTCAGTGGTTCTAGTAACCCATGTCAAGGATCAGGTCTGAGCTCTGTGCTCTGGAATCTGGCGCCCAGGGACTATGCTTACTCTCCTTGGCATCCCATCCCCACCCATTCCCTGCTCCCCTCGGCCTTGCTCTGAGCCCTGCGAGGCTGACTCTACAGACTGTATCACCCAACCTCCCGTGATGGTGCTTCTAATCAGATTTGTTCAACAGGAGGCATGAGTAGGTGATCAGAAAGGGTGGGAGGAGAGACAGGGGCCAGGTATTTCTTTCCTGTTCCCTCTCTGCTTTGTGGCTGTGGCTTACCCCTGCTGGGGGCAGAGGAGGGCTCTTTCTGGGCTTCCATAACACTATTTTCTCCCCTGGCCCCTTGAGAACTAGGGCTTCCTGTTGCTCCTCATCTCCGGATGCCTCAGCATCTCTTGTTGGTCCTACCCGGCTCTCCCTTCTGGGATAAGCCCCTTCATTCAAGTCTTGAACTAACTGAGCTGGGTTCTCTTGCCTGCTAGAACCCTGACTGAGGCAAAGCCCCCCAAATCCTCTTTTGCCCTCTCCTTTCCCCTGGCAGCTGAGGCCAAACCTCACCGTTAATCACAGGTGTGAAGACAGCCATCCCTGCAAAGTTGGGGTCTGACACAGTCTTGTCCAAGATGAGGCCTCCCACACTACAAAGACACAAAGACAAAATGACACAAAGGCTGTTAAGGGGTTCTGTTCCAGTCCCTGGCACGAGAGGGGCAGGCCCATCTGGCCGTGGGCAGGAAGGGAAGCAAGGTGGCTCTCAGGAGTCCCTGGTCTCCCAGTCCTTGCTTCTTTTGCCAGAACCAGCTGCTGCTCATAACATTCGACTGTCACAGTGCTCCCTGAGCAAGCTGATGGCACCTACCTCCCAAGCTGGCTGGAGGCGCCATCCATAGGACAACCTGCTTGTGAGAACCTCTGCTGTTCTGCCTGTTCAGTATTTATTTCCCTTTCCTCCGGGGATGGTCTCTCTCAAACTCAGTGGCTGTGGTTCACATGACATTACTCCTATGAGGACTAGGCTCCAAACTCATCCGATCAAAGCATCACATCCCCAAGGCCACAGTGATTGGTTCAGGAATAATCATGTGACTGAAGGAGAGCCAATGAAATTTTATTTTATTATTATTACTAGAGGCCCAGTGCACGGATTTGTGCACCAGTGGGGTCCCTCAGCCTTGCCTGCGCCCTCTCGCAATCAGGGACCCCTTGATGTAGTAGTGCGCAAAGTGGCAGGTGGCCGGGGAGGAGCTTGAGCCCAGGCACCGTGCCACTCCTGTTCATCCTGGCCCCACTGCGCCTGCCACTGCTGCTCGGTAGCGTTGTGCGGAGGCGGGAGAGGCTCGCACCACCGCAGCTGCACTGGCCAGCCCTGAGCCTGGTGTCTGGCGCCTGTCGGTCAGCTGAGTGGCACTTCCACTGTGGGAGCACGCTGATCACCAGGAGGCAGCTCCTTCGTTGAGCATCTGTCCCCTGGTGGTCAGTGCACATCATAGTGACCAGTTGTTCGGTCGCTTAGGCTTTTATATATATAGATTATTTTTGTTTCCCAATGAAACTTTATAATGGGACTTTATAAATTGTTGATAGAGAGAATCTCTCTTACCACTAAATTAATACAAGTAGAAAAGTATAAATCCGGAACTGCAGGCCAGCACAGGGAAAAGCAGAGCCAAGAGATGTCGAATACTGGGGCCCTGATGATATAATTTCTGCTCCTGAATCCAGCTGTGCCTTTTTAGTTCCCTGAGCCAAATGCATTCTGATTTTCAATGAAACCCTCTTCAGATGGTTTCTGTCATTTATAATAGAAGGACAAGTGACTGACACACTATTGAAGGCATTTCCAGGGTCTGTGCCATGCTCCCTCTCTTCAGGCTCAAAAGGGAGTCTGTGGCAGGGTGGAGAGGGTGGGGGTAGGCACCCACGGCCTGAGCCTACCTGCTGATGGCCATGGCAATGATGACAGGCTCCCAGCCCGAGTACAGCACCTCCCTTGTGGCTGGGCTCCGCCGGGCCAGCACCACCCAGACCGGTAGCAGGGCCACGAAGAAGGCACACACCAGGGGGTAGATGTATTTCCAGTTTTCTGAGAAGCAGAGATCAGACGGAGGTGAGCACTGTGGCTTCCTCTTCCCAGCCTCCCCCTGGCTGATCCTGCAAATATCCCAACAGATCAACAGCCACCCCACACTAAATGCCTGGACATATATAACCTCATTTGATTCTCACTGTAAGCCCAGGAGATAGGTGGGGCCAGGCTTTCCCATTTTGTAGATGAGAAAACCAAGGCCAAAAGCTTCCCCAGCACTGGACTCATAAGGGGCAGAGACCAGATTCTAGGTTTCTTGCTTTAATCCCCAGAAATCACTCTCTCCAGCCCAGGCACCGTGCCACTCCTGTTCATCCTGGCCCCGCTGCGCCTGCCACTGCCGCTCGGTAGTGTTGCGCGGAGGCGGGAGAGGCTCGCACTGCTGCAGCTGCGCTGGCCAGCCGTGAGCCTAACGTCTGGTGCCTGTCGGTCAGCTGAGTGGCACTTCCACTGTGGGAGCACGCTGATCACCAGGAGGCAGCTCCTTCGTTGAGCATCTGTCCCCTGGTGGTCAGTGCACATCATAGTGACCAGTTGTTCGGTCGCTTAGGCTTTTATATATATAGATTATTTTTTCCCCCCAATGAAACTTTATAATGGGACTTTGTGAAATTGTTGAGAGAAAGAATCTCTCTTACCACTAAATTAGTACAAGTAGAAAAGTATAAATCCGGAACTGCAGGCCAACACAGGGAAAAGCAGAGCCAAGAGATGCTGAATACTGGGGCCCTGATGATATAATTTCTGCTCCTGAATCCAGCTGTGCCTTTTTAGTTCCCTGAGCCAAATGCATTCTGATTTTCAATGAAACCCTCTTCAGATGGTTTCTGTCATTTATAATAGAAGGACAAGTGACTGACACACTATTGAAGGCATTTCCAGGGTCTGTGCCATGCTCCCTCTCTTCAGGCTCAAAAGGGAGTCTGTGGCAGGGTGGAGAGGGTGGGGGTAGGCACCCACGGCCTGAGCCTACCTGCTGATGGCCATGGCAATGATGACAGGCTCCCAGCCCGAGTACAGCACCTCCCTTGTGGCTGGGCTCCGCCGGGCCAGCACCACCCAGACCGGTAGCAGGGCCACGAAGAAGGCACACACCAGGGGGTAGATGTATTTCCAGTTTTCTGAGAAGCAGAGATCAGACGGAGGTGAGCACTGTGGCTTCCTCTTCCCAGCCTCCCCCTGGCTGATCCTGCAAATATCCCAACAGATCAACAGCCACCCCACACTAAATGCCTGGACATATATAACCTCATTTGATTCTCACTGTAAGCCCAGGAGATAGGTGGGGCCAGGCTTTCCCATTTTGTAGATGAGAAAACCAAGGCCGAAAGCTTCCCCAGCACTGGACTCATAAAGGGCAGAGACCAGATTCTAGGTTTTTTGCTTTGATCCCCAGAAATCACTCTCTCTCCTCCCCTTCTCCATTTTGCAAGCAGATTCCAGCTTTCCGTTCCCTTCCTTTAACCTGTACACCTTACCCCTCCAAAGGGAAGCAATAATCCAGCAGGAATATACATATTTCTCTGATACTCTCTATCCTGCCCCTGCTACCTGCATGAACTTGAGATAAGCACTTAACTTCAATTCTCTAAGGTGGGGAGTTATTACAACTGTATTCCAATCAAATAAAGAACGCAGAAGAAATGCTAACACATTTGCATATACACTAACCATCTCCCGCAACCCCACCCAGGAGTCCACCCGGCTCACACCCTCGGTAGCCTCATCCTCACCCAGCTCCAGGTAGAGTCCCCAGCTGATGCCTGAAAGCAGTGCCAAGGTAATGAGGTCCCCCAGGCTGGCAGCAATGGGAGTGGCCACGTTGTCTGGGTTGATTCCAATCTTTCGAGAGCCAATGATGACCCCAATCATGATCATACCTGGGGAGGAAGGAGAGGAGCCAGGAAGGGTAAGAAGAGGTAGAGGGGTTAGCAACACAAAGAGAGACTGGAGGTGCCAGGCCCAGGTGACACCTCTGGGGCAGCTCTCCCTACTCCCTTCCCCTCGCACCCTCCTCCTCTTCCCTTCCCTCCTTACCTAGTACCAGGGAGGCAATGAAGGCTGTGGCCACACTGCTGGCACACAGCAGAAAGGCGTGCGGGATGCTGAAGTGGCCGTCAGGGATCCAGCCAAAGACGACAGCTGCAATGGACGCCAGGAAGCCCACCACTGTGGCCTGCACCTGAGGGGGGAGTGGTAACTGGAGAGCCCTGGGAGCAGAGAGCTTCTTAGCGGAGACCTTGTCCTGGCCCTCTGCAGCCCAGGAGGTAGGTGGGGCGGGACCGTCCAGTCCTCCCAAGCGGGAATGATGTCTTTATTTGTTTAGTTTCACACCAGACACTAGTACTGTGCAGTGCACCCCGCAGGAGTCCAGGATATGTTACTGGTGGAATGAGTGTTCCTCTGGGGGTTGGGGTGAGGTTCAATGGCGCCTAGGACTTCAGCCCAGAGACGAGGCTTGGGCCTCGAGGGGACACGAGACAAGGGCGGTCAAGGACATTTCAGCACTCCGGTGTTCGGAGTCTGATCTGTGGGGACATGAGCCCCCTGCAGCACTGGGAGCCGAGAACTGACACTGAGATGCCGAGTTTCTTGGCTGCTTTCCTGGGAAACCTGGTTCCCTCCTAAAGCTGCTTTCGGAGAAGCCAGCTCGGCAGGACGCCGGAACTTCACTCGGGGCCCAGCTGGGGCTGCCCAAGCTTTTCATTCCTGACCAAGGAGGACACCCAGCCCAGTCTCTCTGGTTCCTGCTGTCTTACCTGAATGAGGGCCATGTTCCCAGTGATCATCCGCCAGAGCTCCTTGGGTGTGTCCATGTGCCCGATGTTGGCCTGGGAGAGGGAGGACAGGGGGCTGGAACTCCAGGCTGGAAAAGGCCTGCAGCTCAGACCATTAGCATCCAACTGGCTCAGGAAGCAGTGCATGCGCCCTAAGACTCTGGGACTAGAACATGACCCCATGGAGAGTGAAGCAGGAAAGGGGGGCTAGAGTGAGAGGGAAGGGGCTCCTTGAGCGCCTGTGGCTGGTGGTGGCAGGAAGGGGGCTCCTAAGGCAGTCTCCTCCTCTCAGGAGAGCTGCTCCCTACACCTGCCCACCCCAGATTCCACCCTCTGCCCTGCTCATCAGGACAGCCCACTCCTGCACAGGTGAGAATAGCCCGGTGGACCCCCAGCTCTGGAGCCCGCTTGCTGTCCTCAGGAAGGAAAGGTTAGCTGCTGGTGCAGGACTGTGGCCGCAAGTGTGTTTGGGAAGGAGTGAGGAGGCACAGGAGGCCAGGAGCAGGGCAAGTTGGGGCAGAGCAGGCTGGCTACCACTTCTCTCTGCTGCCTTCTCCCGACTGGTGGCCACGCAGGGACATCTCTGCCACCTGGTTCCCCTGCCTTCTGAGTTTTATTGCCCCCTACCTCCTACCCCCTGGTCCTGTATCTGGTCCAGCCTTTGAACTGTCATGGCTGATCTAAGGGGTTTGGGAGGTGGGGGTGATGAGCACCCCTCCCCGGCTATTCCTTCAAAGCCAAGGGGGCAAGGGAATGGGATGGGAGAGGCGGGGCAGGCCTGGCTCTGCTCCGGCCCAGCTGCAGAGTAGGGCTGGAGATCAGAGGCGGCCCCCATCTGTGCAGGTGGAGGGACCAGCATGATGCTTGCCTGTCAAAGCTGCACAAACAGTCACGAGGCGGGTTGCAAAACAGGGGGTGGGGCAAGCGTCCAGGGACGGCTGAGACATCCAGAAACCGAGCCTGGGAACCACTTGAGCAGGGAGCCCCTGCCAGGAGCAGGACACCCAGCCCGGGATCTCCCTACACCTGCCCACCCCAGCCCCACACCCCAGGCCTGGGCCGCTGAGGAGGCCAGTCGCGATCTCCCAGCCTGGCTCCGTGCTGCCCAGGGTCCTGCATACCCCAGTCCCCCCGGCCAGGACACTCACCGCGGTGGACAGCCTCGATGCCAGGGTCATTTCCAGGTTCCCCTTCAGCCCCAGCAGTGCAGGCACCAGGATGAAGACCTCTGTCACCTTCTGGAAGACTTCCCAGTGCTACAAGGTGAAAACAGATCTCAG